TTGTTTCTATAGATTGTGTTTGTAAATTTCTGTTCTATATCATTATCGGGGTCTTTCTTCTTTTATAGAGCCCCCTTAATATTTCTTGCAGGACCGGCTTAGTGTTCACATATTCTTTCAATTTCTGCCGGTCTTGGAAGCTCTGCATCTCTCCATCCATTTTAAAGACAGTCTTGCTGGATAAAGTATTCTTGGCTGCATGTTCTTCTTGTTTAGTACCCTGAATATGTCTTGCCTGCCCTTTCTGGCTTGCCAGGTCTCTGTGGATAGGTCTGACGTTATTCTGATGTTCTTTCCTCTGTATGTAAGGAATCTCTTCCCCCTAACTGCCCTTAAGATTGTTTCCTTGGTTCTAAGATTTGCGAGTTTTACTATTACATGCTGGGGTGTTGGTCTATTTTCCTTGATCTTGGGAGGGGTCCTCTCTGCCTCTAGTACACAAATGTTTGTTTCATTCCCCAGATTAGGGAAATTCTCAGCTACCATTTGCTCAAATATATCTTCTAGTCCTCTCTCTCTCTCCATCCCCTCAGGGATCCCAATAATTCTGACATTGGAACGTTTCATGGCATCACTTATTTCTCTAATTCTGTTTTCATGGATTTTGAGCTGTTTTTCCCAGGCCTCCTCTTTTTCCTTCTTTTCTATCATTGTGTCTTCTAGATCACTAATTCCTTCTTCTGCCTCGTTTACCCTAGCTGTTAGAGTATCTAGATTAGGTTGGATCTCATTGATAGCATTTTAAGTTCTGCCAGTTCAGCTTTCATTTCTGCCGTTAGAGACTCTATGTTGCCATTAATCAGTTTCTCCATTCTAGCTATCATCTTCATAACTGTTACCTTGAAGTCCATTTCCGACATCTTGGTTATATCTGTATCCATTTGTAAATCTGTGGCAGAAGTCACAGTCTCTGAGTCTTTCTTATTTTGGGGGTTCCTCCTCCTGGTCATTCTGTTGAGGGGTGGTTGAGGGAATGTACAGAGTCCAAATTATTGACCACAATGCAAGCAAGATGCACCTGTTTTGTAGGGACCTTAGGGTTGTTGGCCTCTTGTTCTCCTAGCCTGTCTTCTGCAGGAGGGGCCTGCTGCACTCTTACTCAGGCAGTCCTGTTTGGGCAGAGTTGCCCTGCCCCCTTTGTGGGGGGATGGGCTCAGTGAAAACCATTTTTGGGGGGCTTTTGTTCTCTGGCGACTTTCCCTGGCGGCTTTCCGCATCTCTTCTGAAAGTCAGAGCAGAAGAGACCGTTTCCAGCCCTCTGCCTCACAATAGAGAGATCTCAGTCTGTTCTTCAATGAGCTCTCCAGGCCACACTATCTCCGTTTATGTCTGTGCTGCTAAAAACTGCAGCGTCCTGGATTGTGGCCCCTCAGCAGGCTCCCAGTGCTCGCCTCCAGGTCAGGGCATGGGGGTGTGTCTCTGCCCTTTGTGCTTCTAAAACTGCCAGTCACCCCCAGTTTGCATGTGCTGCCCATCCGCTCTGGTTTTCCATCTGGGGGGCTGCCCTAAAGTCTTTTCCCCGCCGCTATAGGTATGCGAGTCTGCGTCTGGTTCCCAGCTTGGGTGGCTTTTGCTCACTGGTGGTGCAGGATCCCGAAGGCTCCCTCCCCCTTCTGTTTATCTTTGATATGTGCCCGTGGAATCATGGCTCCCTGCTTCATACCTCAAAACCAACTGCCTGCGATATTCTGTTTGTAGAGATCCAGATTTATCTTCTTACATTTCAGGCTGATTTCATGGGTGTTCAGAGTGGTCTGGTTGATATCCAGCTCAATTCCGGCGACCAGTTGGAATAGGGTCCCCTACTCCTCCGCCATCTTTTCTCAGTTACCTAGGTGTTTTTATAAGAAGTACAACCAAATACTCACATCGTCTATTAAGACTGAACAGAACCAAATGGTAATAGCTTCATTAGGAATCCATAGGACATTGACATGAGTAATATAATTTCTTGGCACATAGTTCAGGATGAACTGAATGAGTTAAATCATTTAATTTTGAGTCAATCAGATAACAGAAGACATTTCTCAAAAAAGATTACCTGTTTCAAAATGCTCTTTTTTATAGTTCTTCATTTTGTTATTTGTTAGTTGTCATGGTAGCCATTAAGATAACTCACAGTTCAGGGGCACCTGGGTGGCTCAGTTGGTTAAGCGTCTGCCTTCGGCTCAGGCCATGATCCCAGGGTCCTGGGATCGAACCCCGCATCGGGCTCCCTGCTCTGCAGGAAGCCTGCTTCTTCCTCTCCCACTCCCCCTGCTTGTGATCCCTCTCTCTCTGTATCTCTCTCTGTCAAATAAATAAATAAATAAAATCTTAAAAAAAAAAAGGGGCAACTCCCAGTTCCTTACCATAATGCTGCGTTATCTACAGCAAAGAGAACAATTTTCTGTCCATGACCTGGTAGTGATGGTGGAGAAGATATATATTACAACCGTGAGGGAAATATCACATGGTGTATTTCCTCATATTCCTTTTTCTGCCATTCAGAAACAGATTATTACACAGGGAATTCCATGCTATATCCTGACCAAAAAGGTACACTCCCAATGTAGTGGCTTTAGACTGTTACTCATCTGCAAATCAGCTTTAAACAAAGGCAGAGCAAATGTGCCTGCTGATTTTTTGCCCATGGTCAAAGAAACATAATGAGAATGTGGCATCATTCCTCAGTAGTGGGTTTTCTTACTCATATTCTCTGTCTGTCGTCACTGCTTATCAACTAAGTATTGTAATTGTTTCTGTTGCAAAAATAAAAATGCTTGCAATATTGATTGATTGAGCATATGGACCATGAACTACAGCAGTGCTTGGAAACTCAGTGAATTTCTCCATGATAAATATGGTTAAAATGCTTAAGTGTTACCAGGTGTATTAAAAATCCAGATGTTGGTCAAGGCAATCTGGCACAGGACAATCAGAAGCCCCTTGATCATATGGGGAGTTTCATATTTTCTGCCAGTTTCACTTAAAATTTCTTCACGGAGAGGGTGAGAGCTGGTATGTACATATTTGAGTTGGAATTTGGCAAATCATGCTTATTTAAATATATGGGTATAAATCTCCCATCATATCACCTATTGAGACTTGCCTGGATTATTGCAAACAGCTACTAATTGGCCTCCCTGTTCCCTATCCTGCTCTCTTGCAACCTAGTCTATGCACTAAAGCCAGAGGGATTGTTTGAAAATGCAGATTATGGTTAATCTTTCAGGGGCTTGCCATTGTTCCTAGGCTGATATCTGAACTCTTCAATGTAAAAGGCCTGTCATGACCTGGGTTCTGCTTACATGTCAGCCTCACCTCTGAGTTTATGTGCTACACCACCTATCCTCATACCCCTCTCATGGTGCTTTGAAACTATCCCCTGGTGTTTTCATGACCTATTTCTGTACCTGTGGTAGTCACCACCACCCAGCCTCTTCTCTTGGCTAAATGCTTGCATATTAGTCTTCATCAGAGTTCCCTGATCCTGAAGTCTAGGTTAGGAGCCCTTCTCATGTTTCCTACACCAGCCCAGGAGACCTCTGCTTATTGTGGAACTATGGTCATTGTATTTTCGGTAGTTCCTTCTGCCTAGATGAGGTTGCTTGAGGATAGATACTAAGTCAATTTTATTGGATTAGTTTTCCAGTATCTACTTCAGTACCTGGCATATATTTGTGGCCAATTCAGTGACTTACTGGATGGATATTTGGCACAAAGCTGTCAGAAGCACAAAGAGAAATAAGACGCTTTTCCTGGACACAGAAACTTGATGTAAGGCACATACACATGTCAGATAGTATAGTGTAGAATGGGATTGTGCAACAGAGTGCTGTGGGAATTCAGAGAAGGTGCAACCATGGGCATTAGAAAGGGCTTCCGGGCAAAGGAGATTTTCAAATTGGGCTTTGGATGGCTTAACCTATTTTGAATGGGGAAGGAATACACTTGAGGGCATAGGAAATGAACATAAGGCAGAGGGCTAGGGAAAACAGCAATGTTTGGAGAGAAATGGCATATAGTTCAGTCTAACTGGAATTTAGAGTGGATAAAGGGATTATTGGAGAATATGCTGGAAAAGCAGGTCATGCCAGATTCTGCAGGCCAAGAAAGCCAGCTTACAGAAAACACAGACTGCAAGCAGAGTTGGTGGCTTTTATTTTAAAAGATTAAGAGGAAGATAACAGAATGTGGTCCTTTATTGTGTTGTGCCCTTCACCATCACTTTTAGGTATGTGTGTAGGTATAAGCACCATTCTTGTTATTTTAAGAGGAAGATTTTAAAAATGTTTATTATGGGGGGCGCCTGGGTGGTTCAGTTGGTTAAATATCTGCCTTCGGCTCAGGTCATGATCCCAGCGTCCTGAGATCGAGTCCCACATTGGGCTCCCTGCTTGGTGAGGAGTCTGCTTCTCCCTCTCCCTCTGCCCTTCCCTCCCTTTGCTCGTGCTCTCTCTCTCTCTCTCAAATAAATAAAATGTTAAAAAAAAGTTTATTATGGAACTTATTGCAAACATGAAGTTTTGTGTTTCTGCTGAGGCCATGCCTTGTATATTGCTGACCCGTGGTGCATTTTAAGTAAGACCGTCCAAAATGCTCTCTAGATTGAGGTGGGATACAAACAAATAAAATATTTCAATTGTGTGATTACTGAATAATAAAGGTAAACATAGCTAGAAAGTTTGTGTGGCCGGTTTTTCATAGTTAATCCTTTTCATTGACGTTCTGGCTATTGAGCCAGAATGAGAGAACTATCTCACTCTACTACAGCCAGCTTCTTACTAGAGGCCTGCTATGAGTTTGAAACTCTTCATTGGAAGACAGCTGCAGGGTGGAGAGTTTGGATAACGTCCAGAGAAAAGCAATAAAAATGATGAATAGTTTGGAAAGTAAGACCTCAGAGGGATGTCTAAAGAGGTTGAGAATCTTGATCAATAGCAAAAGCACAGCTTACATGTCTTGAAATCACTGTAGGTGTTTTTTCTTCATCTTCACCCTGAATTCATGGAGAAGACAGCCTAGGTTGCTGCAAGCAAATTCATACTGGACCAAACAGACAAAAATACCCACAAATGCTAACATTGGCTTAACACTCAAAGGTAAGACTGAAGGTGTGGATTGTTAATTTATAATAGATTCGTGGTTGCCAAGGGCTGGGGGAGGGGAAGATGGGGAGATGAAGGTCAAAGTTACAAACTTCCAGCTATACCATGAATAAGTTCTGAAGATGGAGTGCCCAGCATAGTGATTACAGTCAACAATACTGTGTTATATCCTTCAAGGTTGCTAAGACAGTAGATCCTGAATATTCTCACCACAAAAAAGAAGTGGTAGTTATGTCATGGGAGGCAGATGTTAGCAAGCCATGGTGGCAGTCATTTGGCCATATGTAAGTATGTCAAATCAATAGGTTGTACACCTTAAACTTCTACATGTTACATGTCAGTTATATCTCCGTAAAGCTGAGGGAACAAAAAAGCGCAGAGTAGACATCTTCTGGGTGTTTTGCTTTAGATAAAGTCATAAAGAACTTCTCCATTGCCACTGATTCTTCTATCAGGATTTGTTGAGGTGGTGGTTGTTACCATTATTTAGTAACATAGGTCTCTTACACATTTGCTCTGTGTCACAGTTTGGTTTCTTTGGGAGCAGATGCCAAGGCAGTTAGAAGTGCAAGATATTTACTGGGGAGTAAGCCTGTGAATGGGAATGAGAGGGAGCAGGACTGGACTGTCAGTCTGCTGTGCCCACCTGGCCAAGCCTCTGTCTGCTCAGGGGGAGTTCAGGAGCATAGCTTGCCCATTGGAGGGATGCCGCTTTCGTTGGCCGGGTCCTTGTATTTATGCTTGTTCAGTCATCGACTGGAGGCTGCCGTGGGAGGAACATATTCTTGGCCACCACTGTCTGGCTCACTCATTGGCCCGGGGCCACCCCACAAATGGTGTGACCTCAGCTGAAAAGCTGAAGCAGACCCTGAAGGACTAACAGCTGGGGGCTGTGCGTGAACCACACTCCTCATAGCTGAGCAGCGAGCCCTTTTTGGAAGGGGGATCGGAGTGGCACATCTCTGTTTCTCCCACATCATGAATAGCACACTTCTCTTGGATTGCAGTTAAATAAATATGAAGTAGCCAGCTTTCTATGTGTAAATGCAATCTGCAAATTACTACTGAAATTTTCTTTTTTTTTGGGTGGGGGACACAGAGTTACTTGTAGCCAAACACCTAAGTATGGTTTGTCAGATTTACCTAATGAAAGATCACAGCCTAAGAATAGCAATAGGTATTCAAAATCAGAAATTTTACCCATATTATTTATAACTTTCACAACAACCTTGCAAGATAGGCACTATGATTCAATTTTCAGTTGAGAAAGCTGTAGGTCGCATTGTTTAGGAGGTTTTTTTGTCTAGGTTCTGTGACTAGGACGTTCTTCCATGAGACTAGGAGCTGAGGTGTTTGTATTATTCAAAAGGCACTTTGCATTATACCAGGGTGACTGACGTGAAAAATTGTAGAAAAGAATATGACTACCCAGCTTGCATTTTGTAAAAATAGTTCAGTTCTTATGTACTCTGGTCCAGACTCCAGGGATGTTTGGTATAGTCTTTATTGTATTAAAATAAAATACTATGGCTTTTGGCCACAGGCAACAGGGTGGAATTAACTTTTGACTTAATGTTTGGGTAGTTGTTTCCTGTACATGTATAGATGTTAACTCACCACATTTGCAGAGAAAGTTCTAATTCCATTCCATAGGAACTTGGGGTTTATAGATTCCCTTTTTATTTCTAGCTTTACATATAATTTACCTAATCTATTTTAAAAATAAAATGTCACAGTCAAAACATAAAGTTCAGTAGACTATGATATCAACTATAAGGAATTTTTGAATATAAAAAAATAATCCCCCTACCTGTATCATCTTCAGTATTTTATACACAACAACATGTGGTAAGCATCTCATAATTGTTCTCTAATTTTTTAACTGTTGAAGTTGATTTATCTCTTTTATTTAGAGATCATTAGAATCAGCTGTGTGACCAGATACCTACTTCTAAGGCTAGAAAAATGATATTATAACTTGTTTAGATATTTACTGATGAGAAAATTCAGCATCAGGGCACTTCATCGGCTTACACTTAATTCATTCTAAATTGAGTATATTAGGTCAGAGAAACCATCAGATATGAGGGCCAACAATCACTTATGAGGTCATCTTCCGTATGTTTCTCTTTGGCCCATATACTTCCAAAATTTCGGTACTAAAAATCTAAGAAGTGGCAAATAGGATGTCTTTTGCCTGGAAGGAAGCATTTTGAGAACTCTCTTTTGTAAAGGGAGTTCAACTGTGTGTTTAACATTGCTTTCTGATATTCACCCATCTGTCCGCCCATCCATTCACAGTGAACTACCAAATCTCAGTAATGTTATCCGTGAAGTTCAGAAGGCAGACAGTCACCATGACATAGAAATGGGCCAGCACAGGAGTTACTAAAAGTGGAAGTCCTGTTGTGCCTCTCTGCCATGCTTTGCAGACACCTTGAGCTTGGGCAGCCCAAGAATCTCCAGCTGCTGCCATAGAAATTGCAGTGAAACCAGTGATACTTAGTCTGGGAGGATCTTTTCATAAAAGAGAATGTTCTACATACTATGATGTGGTTGTGCTCTGACAAATAGTGTTGAATAATTTGAGAAAAAAACTAGTGTTGATGCTGGATCTGCTGGAAAACAAAAAACAAAAACAAGAATACCACCTGAAGTTTAAAATATAAGTTTTACAGTGGCTTCAGGTACTTTCATGAAAATGCTTGAGGAACTACAGGATAAAGATCAGTAGACCCCAGGGCCTGGTGGAATCCATTAATGTTTGGATGAGCATGATTAGCATATTTGCAGTCTGGAATATTGACCTGCAACCACATGAGGTGTAGCCATGGAAAAAAAAATATGCCAAGAGATTTGTCATGATCTGATGGGGACTTGAAGGAAAGAGAAGGGTGATTTCCAGGCGATCCTGTGACCTTGAGACCATGTAGCTATGCTGAGGAGTGTTCATAGTGCCCATTTCCAGAATTATACAGCCCATTGGACAAGAGACACTTGCAAAAACTGTGGTGAAAAGTTGGCACAAGGATAAATTTTCCATAGTTTCTCTTCTTGTTCTACCTCATTTGCCTACAGGTGACTAATGAATTGGCTATGGGAATGGTGGGCTCTCCTCTCTCTTGGACAGTATGGCTGGCTTGGAGAGGGACCCTTTCACTCTGTAATCCGGAGGGCTAGTTTACCTTCTCCATTCCCTGTCTGTGACTACAAACTGTCTTCTTTTTAACAAACTCACTATTTGACTTTCTTTCTCTCTTTCCTCCAGGCCCAGTTTTTTCTAGGCTCTTCATGGGTAAAAGCCAACTCTGCATCTTTGCCTCCCACAGGTATTGCAGTAACTTCCTAATTTCCTCTCCTGCCTCTCCCATAATCTCTTTTGTGTAGATACGAATTTCGGACCTTGGTGAGGCAAGGCTCTGGTGAAGTTTTTTCATTGGAGAGTAGGTCTTTTTTATGGAGAATCTTCTGGGTGTATTTCAAAACAGTTATCTTTCTGCTCCCCTTGCCGGACCCATGAGGGGATTTTTCTTGGTTCTTTCCTGTGAGAATCTGGGGGATCTTGGAGGGAAAAGTCAAGACAGTCTTAGGGTCTTACTAAGTCACTAGGAGCTATTCACTGTCATGCTAGTCTATATTCTGTTTCTATCAAATTGTTAAAGTTACCATTCAGGTGTTCCTACCAGGTTATGGCTCTAGTAGCTTCTGCTCCAGGTAAGTAGATCTTGGCTGTGATCTCTATATTCTCCTGTGTCTCCAAATTTCAGTGTGGCTCTTTGCCTTGTAACTTCAGTTCTCGGACAGGTCCAGGAAAATTACTGATTTTCAGTTTGTTTCACTTTTTTCTTGTGGTAAGGATAGGGGTGATAACTTCTCTTTACATGTTAATACTGAGACCAGAAGTCTATCCATAGCCTATTTTGAACACAGCAGCCCATGAAATTCCCGTAATGTGTAAGACAGGTCAAATTGCTCCTCTGCTTCCAGCCTGTCTTGGAGTAAAAGCCAAAGCCCTTTCATTGGCCCACAAGGCTTCCATGATCTGCAGGAGTAAAAGCCAAAGCCCTTTCATTGGCCCACAAGGCTTCCATGATCTGCACACTCTCTTACGTACTCATCGATCACTTCTCTTATTTTCTTCTTCCTATCTCTCCTCCAGGCACCTTGGTCTCCTAGCTGTCCCTTAAACATACCAGCAGGCTCCCACCCCAGGGCCTTTGCACTTGCCTGGAATGATTTTTTCCCCTAGAGGTCCACTGTCCCTGAACAAAAGTCACAGATACCTTGTGATGACTTCCCTGACCACCCTATTTAATATAACAACCCCCTAGTCTTCTCTTACATCCCCATTTCCTCCCTTTCCAGCCTTATTTCCATAGCACTTTGCACCACATGACATACTTCATACAGTATTTTTCTAATTTTTATGTTTATTGTCTCTCTATCCTAGCAGATAGTAATTTCCACGCAAGCAGGGATTTTTGCTTGTTTTATTCCTTGCTTTATAGGCCAGTGATATAATGAAATTGTTAATTCAGGATTATCAGTTGATGTTAAAACCATTAAGTGAATGGATGATGGTGAATGAAACACTTGTACAATGCCAAAGCAACACTACACAAATTAGTTTCAGGTTGCAAAGGGAAAAATGTTAACTATTAAATAGAGAAATCAAACTGTCGACACCCCAATTCAGTGGTTAAGCTTAGTATCATTAATGGTGGGTCAACCAGATGTTCTGTGTTTTCTTAGGTGTTGCAAAATGAAGTTGGTAACATCACTTATGCATTATCTAGCCAAGTATGCTTAACTTGAATCCATAGAGCCTTTAGATGTAGCTCTTAGTTTATGAAGTAAGGAACAAGCTAAAATTCATCATGAAGAAACTGAACAAATTTAGAATGTGGTGTATCCTGTAAGATAACAGTTCAGGATCGTTAAAATAAAGGATCTGTTCTAAATGAAAAGAAACATAAAGAATAAAATAGGTGCAA